AGATTTGTGAACAGCAAATTGTATAAGCAGATTGTTGGAAGTTTGATATATTTGACAGCAACAAGACCAGATATAATGCATGTTGTAAGTCTGATTAGTAGATATATGGAGCATCCAAAGGAGTTGCACTTGTAGACTACTAAAAGAATTCTTAGGTATTTATGTGGAACTACAGATTTTGGACTATTCTACAAAAAGGGTGACTAGACAAATCTCGCAGGCTTTACAGACAGTGATTATGCTGGAGATCTGCGTGATAGAAAAAGCACTTATGGGTTTGTTTTTATGTTGGGATCTAGTGCAATTTCATGGTCTTCAAAGAAGCAGCCCATTGTGACTTTTTCCACAACAGAAGCGGAGTATGTGGCAGCAACTTCTTGTGCTTGTCAAGCTATTTGGTTGAGAAAAGTTATGAAAGAACTTGAGCTGAATCAACATGAGGCCACTTCAATTTATTGTGATAACAATTCAGTTATCAAGCTTTCTAAAACTCCAGTTTTACATGGGAGAAGCAAGCATATACATGTGAGGTATCATTTCTTGCGCAACTTGGTAGAAGATGGAATAATTGAGTTGATTTATCGCAGAACAGAAGATCAAGTGGCTGATATATTCACAAAACCCCTCAAAGTAGTAGTTTTTCAAAACTAAGAAAGTTACTTGGTGTTTCCAGCATGCAGAATTCAGTTTGAGGGAGGGTCTGCAGATTTCAGATTACAGATCTGCAGATATGGTGTTGTCCAGATTTCTTTAAACTAAAGTCTGAAGACTTTCAGTTTAAGGGAGGGATTGTTGGAAATTAGGTCCTATTATTTAGCCATTATCTCTATATTTTAGGAAGTTTAAGTTATTTATTTGTTTTAGGTTGTTATCATTTAAATTAGATTAGATAAGATTGATTATTTATCTTTTTAAATAATATTATCTTGTAAAGCATATTTAAAGATTGGATTATTTTCAGTTTAATGAGAGATTCAGTTTTTCATTCCATCTTCTTCTTTTCGGGAATCATTGATTTTTTTAACACAATAATATATACATCTTGTATAGTTACACTCCGTTATACACTGACAGAAACTGTTAATATGTAATGGAAACCGTCAGTTTTAATAGTATAAATAATAGAAACCGTCAATATAGTATAAATAATAGAAACTGTCAATTTTAATGACATAAATAATGGAAACTATTAATTTTAATAATATAAGTAACGGAAACCATCAGTACATAATGAAATGTGTAACTTTACATGGTGTACAGATCATTTCCCTTATATTTATATATGCACAACGGTAACATGTCCTTACTAAATGTGATAGGATTAGTTTTTTTAGTAATAATTCGTTGACTATTTGTTAACAATAGATCCTTAGGTCCTCCTTTGCTCTGCTTAGCTCATACGCCATCTTCCTCTCAAAGAAATAGACTTCGGCCAATTCCATGACAAACCAAGTCGTTTCCATTTGAAAAGTAATGAAGTGCTTTTACAAGCAACACTTACTAAGATCAAGCAAGGTTTTAATTTTTTTCAAATGAACGATTTGAAGACTTACTGGTTTTAACAGCTAATTGCAGGGTTGATCATTTTGACCTTTTAATTCATAAATGTGGGTCTTAGACCTATGAATAGGGATATTCTCAAAACTCATGAAGAAAAAAAAAAAAGGGTAAAGATAAAAAAAAAAATAACTTTTTCTTTTTTTGATCTTGGGTTGCACAATGGATGTCAAGCCTCTCACATCAATTAAACTACCTCACCTGTATACTACAAGACTATAACTAAAGATCTTTTACATTCATTAGAATAAGATTACTATTAAACCACTTAATTCATTGACAAAAAAGAAGTAACTTAGACAAAAAGAAAGAAAGTGACTTGGACAAAATTCTTTTTCTTGATAATCTTAGACCAATCAATCAAATATTAAATAGGTAATTGATCAAACACTAGTTAAAACTGACTCTTCTCTATTTTGATCCTAGTACTAGTTGTCCTAAAACTTACTTATGAGTGATAAAAAAAGGTCAAATGCCAATATTGGTACCTAAATTTTGCATTTTAAACACTTTTAGTCCCTAAACTATTTTCGGCACTTTTTGGTCCCTCAACTCTACAAATTGAAATTTATTTGTCCTTTTGTGAGTTAAGTGATGATTTGGATGTTAAATCAATTAAAAATTTAATTTCCTACAATTTTTTCTTTTTTTTTGATAATATGTCCATTTGTAAATGGATACCTTAGATTAGTTGGACAAGATATTTGATATCCATATTGACAATTTTAGCTTAAATGGATAAAATAATAAATTAAAAAACCAAAAACTATCCATCAATTAAATTTCTTTATTAAAACTTACAAAATGACCAAAAAAAACCCCTAAAATATTTTTCTTTCTCTTGAGACTACTTCCTTACTAAAAACATTTTTGGGCACCATGACGTGTCATTGCCACTTCAAAAGAAAGTGTCATTTTTTATTGAGCTAATAGTACATTATCACTTAGCTATCCGAAGGACAATGAAACAAATGCAATTTGTAGAGTTTAGGGATAGAAAGGGTGTTGAAAATAGTTTGTGTCATGCCCCAGAACTCAAATCCGAGATGTAACAAACGCTGTGCACTTGTGAAAGGGTCCTACAAATGCACAAGGCGTGAAACTTATCTAATTCACATCTGACAATCCAATAACTTAAATCAGATATTTCAAAATAATTCTATGTCTAACGTGACTTAAGCTCAAAATCTCAAGGTCAAATCTCTTGTAAACTAACAATCCATTAAATGAATTTATAAAATCTCCAATTAAAATCTTGCTTACAAGATCATGATATATATCTAAATTTCATATCCAATTACAATATGGCTAGCCTCCTAACTCATCACTCCCCTCGTTTTTCCCTGTCCTTGACTTTGCTTCCTAAAATGGTGAACAAGGAAAAACTATGAGATAATTTAGTAAGTAAATATGGATAGCCCTTGAGTAAAATTTTAGCATGCCAGATAAACAATTTAACATAACAAAACGTTCAATGATAAACCGTTAATACAAAATCAAATTCAGTTCAATAGCAAAGCGTTTAATGACAAATCGTTAATGCAAAATCAGATTCAGTTCAATAACAAAGCGTTCAATGACAAACCGTTAATGCAGAAGAAAATTCAGTAGTAGTCTCATCTATAAGTTATGGCTAGCGTTTAACACCCACTGGTAGGTGTCAGAATTTACCAATGTGTTCGCCCATTGGCAAGCGTCAGAAATTACCAATATATTCGCCCAATGGCAGGCATCAGAAATTACCAACGTATTATCCCATTGGCAGGATTACAGAATGAACCGGTCATATCAGTAAACATGTCAGACATGTGCTAGTGTTACTCCCACTAGCGGGGATCAGAAATCATGACTATATCAGAGACAAAACCATGCAGGATTTACAGAAAATTCTGAAATTCACAATCAATCTCAAATTTTAGAAATAAACCGAAAAATTCCCATGTGGGCATGGATTTAACGAAAAAATTGAAATTTACAAAATTCTCAGTTCATCAAGGCAGTTCAGTCAATTTCAAGTAGGCATGCTCTACTCAATGCAAATAAAAACAATTTCATTTCAAACTAATCATGCTCGATGCTAATAAAATCAATTTAAACCAATAAATCAATTTAAACACTGCTACCATCTCAAAAACAATTAAAAATATACTTCAAAATCGAAGGGTGTTACCATAATTTACTTACCTCATTTGCATAAATGAAGACTCAATCTTAGTGCTAAATTGATAGAACGATCAAGAACCTAATCAAAATATCCAAAAATTAATTATCGTACCGCGAATTCAAAAGTAAAATCACCGTGACTACCCCTAATCATGATGCTATTTCTATTAGTCTCCGTATGACCGAATATCTCCAAATTTGTGCTTATATTATAAACTAAACATTTAATCCCCGTTAATGTTGGCCATCAGTGCGTAAACAGTACCTGTGAACAGTATCCGTGTACAGTAATTACGCCATGAACAGTGACTGCAACTTCCAAAAATTGGCAAAACCATAACTAATCTCACGGGATTTCTCTCCAAAAATCACAGCAACCAACTCAAGCAATTTACACATGAATTAAGCTTAATTATTCTCTAATTACTACCGAAATTCATCCCCATTTTTTAGCAAAATTTGGACAGTATAGGCAGCAATTAGATGGCTAACTTTCAGCAGTTAAATGGGTAAAATTTGGACTTAGAGAAGCTGCCACATACCA